GGGACTGGAGGCCGGTCATTGACCTGTTTCATCCCAATTGATATGTTCACATTCCAGCTTCATAATGGTATCCTACATTACTTTTCAGTGGGCTTTGGATGACCAAGATGGACGTCTCCAATGCTTAGCATTATATTCCCATATTGGAGTGTTCATGTTCTTATTCTCAGTTTTTCCATCATGGGGTGGTATACCAATTTCATGCCCTACCCTTCGTGCTGGCTTTGGTACTTTACATTTTCTGTTAGGTAGTGTGAACCTTTGCTCTACATCTTCATGCCCTAGGGTTGTGCTTTCACTTTTGAATAGACGACTGGCTTCTTCTCACTCATTCTGAATGGGAGTCAGCCTGTCATATATGTCAGCTCCTTCTCGAAGCTGCTTGGAGAAGTCCTTCCTTCATCCTACCCAGTACCTCCTTCATCTGGTTGTTTTCTTCAACACCCATCTCAGTTGGGCCCAACCTTCTCCTCTCCAGTTCTGTTCTATGGAACTTGCCAACTGGAATGCCCTACCTGCTTCTTCACTTTCTGCTTGCGAATTTCTATCACTTTTGGGGATATGGTCTTCCCTGACTCCTCTCATATCTCTCCACTGGGCTGCTATGTGATCCTTTCAATGGGGCTTCCATGACCAATGGAACTATGCTTGGGATTCCTTGGATGTTCCTATAAGCTTCCTTCCTACATTGTGGATGATCTCTGATGGTGGTTGGACAAGGCTCATACATTGGCAGGTGTCCCACTTCCTCCTCCGTTGCAAGTTTTACTTCTGTTTACGATGCATCCCTTCAGGGCTGGAGTCTGTGGGTCGATTACCAGGAGGCTTCAGGTCATTGTTCTGTCAGGGAATGTTCTCTTCATATCAAGGTTCTCAAACTCCTTGCTATTTGTCAGGCTTTGGATCACTTTCTTCCCATCTCCAGAGATCGTCTGGTCATGATCCATTCCAACAGTTGAACAGTGGTGGCTCATATCAATCACCAAGGTGGCACCCAGTCGAGATCCCTGTGTTTTCTAACATTGGATCTTCTTTTGGGCCCATGATCATCACATTCGTTTGATGGTGTGTCATGTACCAAGTGCTTTCAACCTTGTGGTAAACCATCTTTCCCAACCCGGACAGAGTGGTCCCTTCATCCCTTGTTTTTTTGCTGGCTTTGCAATTGGTGGGGTATTCCTCATATTGATGCATTTGCCACCACCATCAATGATCACCAGTTACTTTGGTCCCTGGTTCCCCACATTTGGGCCTTGTCTATAGATGACTTCAGCCAGGATTAGTCAAACAAGTTCCTTTAGGTTTATTCTTTTATCCAATTATTTCATTGCATAGACTCCCCCCATCCATACCACTCTATGCAAAGTCCTTCTGATTGCTCCTTACTGCCCCATTCAACCATGATTTCCTCGATTACTCCAGCTACAATTGTTCCCTCCCGTCCCTCTTCCTTTATTCCCCGACTTACTTTGTCAACCCCAGTTGCCAGTTCTGCATCCCACAATTCACGCCTTCCATCTTCATGCCTAGTTTTTGTCCAGTTCTTGGTGAGGAGATCCGATTTCTCATATCGGGTGGCATTTCATTTAGCTTATTCCATTTGTCCTTCATCCATGGCTGTGTATCAGTGGAAATGGAATGTTCTTTGCACCTGGGCCCTGGCTCAGAATATATCCAAGCTTCTTGTCCTATGGTTGCTGGTATCTGAGAGTTTCTTTTGTGGCCTTTTAAGAAAGGGTATTCAGTCTCCTCGATATCAGGTTATCAAGCAGCCCTATTCAGTACTTTCTGTTTTTCTCATTATTGTAGGGTCTTTCTTTCCCCTGTCTTGCCATTTTGATCTGTTTTTTCCAGATACGTTGGCTGCCTAGGTATCCGGTACTTTCAGATTGGGACATTAAGGTGGTACTCCATTCCCTTACTTTACCTCTGTTTGAGCCCATTGCCTTATGCTCTTTGTTTCACCTATCACTTAAGCCATATTTTCTTCTCCTCTTGGCCTGTGCGTGTTGTTTTTCAGATCTATTCGCTATCGACATCACTCACACATTGTACAACCAAACCTATCTTCTCCTTAATCCAGATTGTTCCTTCCTTCCCAAGACCTCGACAGCTCGCATGGGTAACTCCTCCTTTTCACCCATTTCCATTCTCTCTGTTTCTCATCTCTACCCTCATCCTGATCTGGATAGACTTCTACACCTGGTGCATGCCCTTCATTGTTATATTGCTAGCACAGCTTCCTGTTCCCGTCTCTTTATCCCATAGCAACCCTCTTCCTCTCGGGATCTTTCTCCCTTTAGCCTTACCAGTTGAGTTCATTGTTTAATCCAGTTACCCTATTCCTCTTTGTCCCCTTCCTAACATGCTTTATTACATGTTACCTTTCATCAAATCTGACACCTCAACTTTTCCCTTGCTTTTCATCTTCATCAGCCTTTGGAAGAGATTCTGCATTCAGACATGTGGACCACCTGTCAGACATTCATTTCCCATTACTTACATCACGATGCAGTTCATGCTTCCTTGGGATATTGCCTACCACCTTTGAATATACTTCAGTGCGGCTATAACACTAGGTAATTCTTTATTGATGGTTTATTTTCTTTCAGGGGCTCTTGCTTTGAATTTCGTCTCTTGTATCCAACTGTGTGGTGAGTGGTGCCTGATCACTAACAAATCTGCACTGTACACCATGTTGATTTGTGTGCTGTTTCTATGGCTCCACACACTCACCTTAGAGATGGGGTGTTGCACAAGATCACTGGATGGTCAATAATCTTGTGATATTTGCTTCATAAATAGGCTTATCCTCTCCCACTTGGATGTACTCTCTTCCTTTTCCCCCATGTTTGTTAGTATCTGTTCATGGCTAAGAAATACCTGGTTCAGAAGTGGTGCAGCGCCCATCCTCAGATCATCTGATCTGTTTCTCTCATCTACAATAGTATCCTTTGGATGCTTTTAGTGGGTACATCTGTTCTTCCCTCGCACTGGCCCTTCCTTTTTTCAGTGTGGGATTCTAGCTAATCTTGTGAGAGTAGGGAAGTACCATATCAAAATTTATAATTCTTCTATACTGAAAATTTATTTCAAATAGGTACTTCCCTCCTCTCACACTTCCCACCCTCTTCCCCACAATCTTTCGATGATCATGTCTTCTGCCAAACTTCGAAGTGATGGTTCGGTAGTGGCGCATAGAGGGAGTCACATGCATCACATGATAGTAGTGCTCTCCTATTGGTGGAGAGATGATGCATGATGACATGTATGAGAGACATGTTGGAATCTTTGATTCCAATAGGGATGTGCAGAAGGCTTATGGTATGCATTATAAACCTAATCTTGTGAGTGGAGGGAAGTACCTATCAGAAATACATTTTCATTATATGGAAAATTATAACTTTAGAAGCTTAAAAAACTTAATTATTTTGAAAATTTTCAACAGCTTTACGTCACTTGGTAGTATGGACTGTTCTCGACCAAACCCTGCATTGCAGTATGTTGATGAAAAGGGCGTTGTTAAATATCACCCTGCTTATGTATTAACAGACTGTGGACAAGAAAGAACAAGTCGGCATTAATCACACAGTAGCACCTGCATTTAAACATGGCAGACTTCTTTATTTTACATAGTGAGTCCACATGATAATACGTCATCGTGAAAGAAAAATGTGAAATAGTTTTAAAACTAAGTGTAAAATACTAATATATATATGTGTGTGTGTGTATGTGACATAACATGGTAAAAAAGCATGAACTATTTCTTGGATATTTCATTTTTGAGATTTTATCAAGTTTTTACCAGTATTTTCAAGTTGAATTTTAAGTATCAAACATTAGTGATAATAAATTAGATAAAATATGAAGTTTAGTTAGGCTAAATGGTAAGTTTTCACATTGTGATTTAAGATGAATATACAGTGTATGGTACAGTTAATTTGTAATACAAGCTTCATTGTCTGATTAGTGTACAGCACTACCAAAAACCAAGCAAAATTTTAGCTCCAAACAATTATTCTTTAATTGCTTTCAGATACAATAATTGTTATATTGAATCAGTTTTGTTGTGTTAATTTCACTTAAAACCAACTTGGTTTTTATTGATTTTTTTCTATCCCAGTTACAAAACAATTTTAATTGCTCAAGAGAAATCGCAAGTAAAAAAAAAAAGATTAAGGAATTTTAGTGAGTTTCAAGTGATGAAAATTTTTTAGTTCTATATTAAGAGATATTAAAAGCCGTATAAATATTTTACGTAAAGTCAGTTGAATGTGTAATTAAAAAAACAATTTCTCATTGGATTACCCTCCCACTAGTGGTTTTCTCATTGAGTAAACCATTTTTGCTGTTATTTGTAAAATATAAGAATATTAACATGATAAGTTGCTATATGAATGTTAAAATAAAATATAAGAATATTAACATGATAAGTTGCTATATGAATGTTAAAATAAAATATAAGAATATTAACATGATAAGTTGCTATATGAATGTTAAAATAAAATATAAGAATATTAACATGATAAGTTGCTATATGAATGTTAAAATAAAATATAAGAATATTAACATGATAAGTTGCTATATGAATGTTAAAAGATAATATTGTCAGGTTATTGTTTTTCTGTTTATTAGTTAAATATCCACCATACTTAGCAAACTGTAGTAGATTTAAATTAATTCCATTCTACTGTGAACAAATGACATAAGAAATTGACTACTATGATCAAGTACACAGGTGATAAACTAGAATTATAAGTATAGTTTTATAGTTCATTTCAGACTACTAAGTTTAGAAAGGACTTTTATTTCACCTGACATTTACTTGTGTTTTGAGATTATATATTTCTACTAAATATATATAAAGAAAATGAAGTTACATGAAAATATTCATAGATAAATTTTTTATTTTGTTAAAATTACTTTGATTTCAAAATTTGGTGGTGCTCTGTATATTGTTCTAGCAATAGTACACTGAATTGATAAATCTTAAGTTAACTTCTTCATCAAATTTTGTTTTCTACTTCAACACTTGTAATGTATTCGGTTAATAGATAAGGTAAAACTAAGGTGTGCCAAAGTAGTTACTTTTAATTGTAATTTTTCTTGATAGAAGACATTGTGTAAACACAAATATTACCTATTTTTACTCTTTGATTTTAAAGCACAGTGGTTAAATTTCCTAAAGCATAGCTTAATGTCTTCAGTAAATTAATTTGTTTTTACATTATATAATTTATCTTCAAGAAAAGACTAATTATTGCTTGTTTTTATGTGTAAAACTAATAGGCCTTAAAGGATGTGCCTGTAAATGGATTACCATGGGCTGGGCAATTAATAAGAGAACTTAAATATATTTCTAGTTTCTTACAATTATCCTTATTGGTGGTAGTGCATCATTGCTCAGCCTACAACTTTAACTGTTTTTTTATTGAACATAATATATACAAATATCACTTAACTATTGTCATATGTCTTTTGGTGCTTAGTCATTGCATATCTGTCTTGATGACACCAGGAGAAAATTTTACAATTTTACTGGCTTAACATTTTTGTTGCCATCATGAATGGCTACGATTGAAGCATAGAATAAGCTGAAGTGGTATAATTTTACTTGTCAAGCAAGGCAATGTTTGATGGTTTAACATGTATTACTAAATATGAACTTTCCACTGGTAATGCATCATGGTAATGCTTAATACTACATGACTGAAGATGGCCCTTTATAGCATTGTAAATGAAAAACTATAGATATATACCATAGTTATAATGAGTCAAATGTAACCTGTTGCAGTGATCAAATGAATAAGCAATTGGCAATTAAGTGAACGATGGTTAAGAAAGTATCACTGGTAAATTATAATTCTTATATTTAATATTGTAATTAGAAGCATTTCATGTATACAATTGTTTTTTTGTATTAAGAAAAAAATATGTTATTAGATATATCATGTCAAAAAACAACAACATAAGAAACCGATACAAAAACCCTAATGGGCAAGAGGCACATTAAGGCTGTGAAGAAAAAGAAAGAAATAAGTAAAGACATACACTGAAACCTCGGTACGTAACTGAAATACTACCATAACATGCATGATAATCAAGTTGCTCAACCATATGAGGCCTTACTCCAGCATTTTCATAACCAAAGATATGATAGTTTGTGTATGCGAGGTATGGTTGCCCATATTCCTATGCAAGATCTAGGTTGGTTTGACCAATTCAGTGTTCAAGGGAGTTAGAAGAAGAGTTATAGTACAGTCAATCTATGCCAAATATAGTCTTGACTCAAGATTAATTGCTACAGATTTATTTTTGCATAAATGTTATTCTGGAAAGCCAAAAGAATCACTTGTAAAAAGTCTCAAAGATACTCACAAGGGGAATCAATTAAAAGGTCAATTATTAAATAGCAATTATCAATTGAGTACCATCCTGGCAAAAAGCATATATCACCAAGTACTTGGTATATATGATGCTTACAATGTCATGTAATACATCATTTTAAAGCCGATTGAATATTTTTTCAGCTGGGTGCAAAATATATATGTCATATCTTCCATTTTAAAAATTATTAGTAATCTTGGGATTTTTTTTTGAATGAAAAAAAAAAGCTAATTATCATATAAAACTTGCAATTTTCATGGTAGGTATAAAAACACCAATTTATGAAACCAATATTATTGTTAAAGCAAGGAACTTTTTAGGTAACTTGTTCCAATAGTTTCAATTCAACTCTGTAAATGTTTGACCAAGAATATTTTATGATACAATAAATTATAAATAAGTAGTCAATAATCAAAATCTGTTCCATAATCACTGTACTTAGATAATAGTCTTATGACATTAGTCCTCAGTATCATTGTTGGGCATTGGGGAAAGAGAATTTGTACATGTACCACAAGATGTGAAACACTGCAATTTATATTTCTTACATGTACACCTAACAGATCTGCATTCAGATATACAATTGCACTGTATTACATGCAAAACTTCCATGGATGCAGGTGGAAAATCTGGATCTGATAATAGACTCAGAGGCTATGATACTTTGTAGCTTCAGCAGTTGGTGGAAGAGTTTCTGGTTTGACAAAGATGCTACTCTTTGCAACTTTCTCACAAAATTTTTCATACCAAAAGTCATTAAGTCCTTGTTTTCGTTTCTCATTATACAATTCTACGAGTGCCTTTTCATCCATAGATATAACATGTGTGTTTTACTGGTGTCTTTTCTGTTGAGGGCTGCATATTCCTTGAAGTTACTAGTTGTATGGATCTTTTTTCAGTGATAATCCTTTCCCAAGGCCAAATACTTGTGAAGTTGTATCACAACCCAGGATAGCATTAACAAACAGTATATTTGTTGTAAATATCTTATCCAAGTTTAGTTTTTACTGCATTTATATTCCAAATTTTGCTTTTCTGGATCACATTGTGCTTTGGCTCAGATCAGAAGAAAACATCATATGAATTTGGAACTGTGTAATAAATAAGAAGCACCAGTAGATCCATATTTTCACCAACCACTATTGTAGTGTTTAATTCTGCCATCTTTGCTGCAATTTTTACTATTAATATAACTGCATCTCCATTGGCATGAATTGTAGTGCAGCCATTTCTTAGGTTCTCTGGACAAATAAATGTTTTATGGACGAAGATGAGCGTGAATACACGTTAAGCATGTATATATGTCGCTTGAGCAGTATTTAGCTCATGGTCGTAACCAAGTGTTATGACCCCCCCCTTAACCATGTCACAATGGCATAAACAAGATAAAGTTACCAAGGTAAATGAAAACAAATGGATGGAATAGAATGATATTATGGGATTTCAAGACAAGAACAATGTAATCTGGAAATTATTATAAAACAAATAATATATTATGGCTATGTAAACATTTTAAAATATTAACATCAGCAGTTTTATCTATTCTATAACATATAAATGTAAAAGCAATTATAGACATTACTGCTAGTATCTTGTTAAGTAAAATAACAAAGCACAAATAGCTACTATATAGCTTTCAAATACATAACACATAGTTCACATAAGCTTTTGGTCAGACATATATGTCAAAATTACACAATAGAGTGTGAATGTTTAAATTTACTGAAATACTTAAACTATGAGAAGAAGCACTTTGTTAATTGTTTCTGTGACGGATTTATTATTCTATATATATATATTAATATGGATGTTTGTTTAAATGAAATTTATATTTAGAAATGAACATAACCTATACTGTTATATACGTATGGCGAAACTCCTGCCTATTCTCTAAAGTTCTAGTAGATTCTCGAGTGTAAGAATCAACAAAATACGTGTGTACGTAAACGCTAGTTTAGCGTGTTAGTATTATTACGTAAGCTGAAATTTCGAGAAACTTACCACACGCCTATAAATATAACCAACGCGACGCGCCAAGAAAGAGAGTATCTATTATTGGGTTGCTGTAATTGGTAAGCTATAACTGTGATTAACACATATTAATCGGGAACTTTAGATATATTGACCAGGAACGTTTATAAATTTCGAACATTACAAATCAGTTAACTTCAGTGGATTCACATGGGACATTAGTACTGTTACGAAAACATTACCTAACGTCATCGGTAGAAACTCGACCTGTAATTGGAGTGTGATCAGCGAGAACTACAGGACCAGCTAGTTCCCTATTAAGTGAATTATACGTACATTAACTCGCTCATCGTGAACCCTCAATAAGACACCAAGGAAGTTTGAGACAAGAAAGAAGACTTTATATTGCTTGTGAGTTTGCAAAGTTTTTGTATATAAATCATTGTTTGTAATAATTATTTCTAATAACTATTATTGTAAATTGTATTGTTGTTTATATATTAAAACATATTTGTATTAAAGAAAGAAACTGTGTGTATTAATCGTGTTGGCAAATATTATAAATTGGATAAAAATCGGCATTTATTTAACAACTAAAAACCTATTTGTATTAAAGAAAGAAACTGTGTGCATTAATCTTGTTGGCAAATATTATAAATTGGATAAAAATCGGCATTTATTTAACAACTAAATTTAAATTATCATTTAGTTCGGTTTCAGACCATTCGAATTGTAATACGCAACACACACACACACACACACACACACACATAGATTACTGCAACAAACCCAAAGTTCAGCCTACCTGTTCACTAGCCATTAGTATGAACACTTCCACTAACATTGGTAGTCGTAATAGAATGGAGGAACTTAAGTTCCTGTTCAATTTTATATAATATTTTTGATGAAAATGTCGTTCAAAATACTGCCTCATTTTAGGATTAATTTCACCTATTACATTTTGTAAAGCTAAAACACTTTATGCCATTCACTTTCAAACATTCCAATAGCCAACTAAGTTCAAAGTTCACGATCCCTGTTTCCATTCGATTCAAACCGAACCTTAAGCATGTAGTCGTCAGTTTGTTGAGAGTGGTTATTACCTTGCGTATGAATAGCTTAAGTCCCGCTTGGTTCTGGCTAGATCCTCATGGAGTTCTTAGGCAGTCTTGGATTTGTTGGGACTGTTCCATGTGATTTTCACCTAAATCACAATCAGTAGTGTAACAGTAGCGTGGTCTGCTGAACTATGTACAAGTTTAGGACAGATTTCGATGTATTTGTTTGAAGTTTTAGCCGATTCAGCTATCAGAGTCCTCCTGACAGTCAGAGCATTGAAATCAAAGTGGATGCCCTAATGTTCAAAAAGTAGCAGGAAGAGGTCTTGAAGACCTTTTCCAGGGTTTTTGTGGTACTTTATTAAATATTAAGTGTCGGAAGGTCTTTTTTTGGTTTTAGCATACTATAATCCTACTTGTTGTCATGTTCCTATTCAATTGTATTAGACTAAAGACTTTATAGACACTGGATATAGCAAATATAATGTGGCTGACATTGCTATACATTCTACTTTAATTTCACTACATAAGTTCTTTGCTTGTCTCATAGAAATTTTAATAAACATTTTTGAATGTAGAGCAAAAGTGTTCCAAAGAATATTACGTAAATATGACATGAAATTTTCTATTTTTTTAAGTATTATCTCTCATTAAATGATTTTTACCATGTTCATGTTTTTTGATAAAATATTATTGCGAGGAGGTTTTGGTGTTGCATTTTTTAAGCAATTTCTTGCTGCGGACTTATATAGATAGAAACCGGGTTTCGATACTCGTGGTGGGCAGAGCACAGATAGTCCTTTGTATAGCTTTGTGTTTAATAACAACAATTCATTGCGACATCTTCACTTCCGGGTTGACTGTGCATAAAGGTTTTCATGACACTGTTTCAATTATTGTTTTTACCGTTATGATAAATCTTTGTTAAAGGGTCCACTAAAATTCTCACTGTTACAGAATTGTTTTATAAATTATTGTTCAACATGTAGTAAATGATTTAAGATTATATTGTGCTAACATTATTATTGTTCGAGATTATTTCTGTTTTTTTTATGTAATTTAAAATTTCTCATCAATATTAAATGAAAAATTGTACTTGCATGTTTTATCTTATATTGTAGATAAATGTTTTGTAAAACACAAGTTTAAAACCCAAAAGATTAACAGTTAGTCCTTTATATAATCGATTGGACTTTAAAAAGTTATTAACTACAGTCTTGAAAGATACAAGGAAAAAAAAGATGGTTTGGAACCAATTACTTTTACTAAAGCAACAATAAGTTTGAATATATAATAAGAAACTGAATTATGTCGAAAAACTACGTGAATCGTCATCAGTGATAAAGCACGTAGTTGTAGTTAACCCTGCACTAGTAATGTAACTATCGACAATCTTTCAAAAAATCTACTTTTAGTGGTTTAACTACACTAAACATCAGTATTTTCGTATGTATGTAAGTTAAAATAAACTCAAACTATCAATTTTTCGTCGTCCCGGTATTTAGATTTTCTTGACCCTTTATTTCCAAATTATTTAATATGAAATTTTCATCAAAGCATGCTACCTACACAGACCTTATTCACACATTTCAAATTAAAAAAAGAACAAAAGAGATATAAGGTGTAAACATAAAAACAATTATATTTTCACCATTAAATATTATCTTGTACAAATCACGTGTTACAATACAAAATAACTTTATTAAACTTAAGTACACTTTTTCTTACAGTCCTGCCAGTACCAGCAGCACATTTCACCACCCTGACAGTCAGCATCAGTTTTACAGGTCGAATTAGGACTAACACCACCGGGACAAGGGTCTACGAAGAAAATGGCCATTCCGGACATTCACCTGTTAGTTAGGAAGAGAATGACATTGGTTAAAGTTATTAATAATTATACTTTTAGTGTTGAGGAAGACTACCTTTGAAAAGTTAAAACGATGAATGCGATAGTACCACAGAGAAAAAAAAATATTAAATGTTGCAAATACATTGGTGCCACTAGCCAATAACAGTTCATTGTAAAATATATTTAATAGGGAGAACGTGCAAAAAGGAAATTTAGCTCCTCTTGAGACCTTAAGAGTACGCCGCGACATATAGGACAGTATTTCTGAGTGTTTGTTGCGAACTTTTGAAATATACTTACCCGAGAGTTACTCTTATAGATAGTTTAAAACGCGGAGATTTACCTTTACATATGCAAATACCACTAGCACAGTTTTTAAAGGAATTGTTTAAAAGTTATTAAAACTGTTTAAAGATAAAAGGATGTTGCACTTTAAGAGGAGGAAAAACCTGGCATTATTCGTACTTATAGATGACAAAATGATTTGCTGTTAATATCTTACATTCATTTAAAAATCTTTAAGCTATTTCTGGAATTGGAAACTTCAGGAAAGTAAGTGTTTAGTAAAAGTTACTGTTTATAAAAGTTGTATCGATCTGTAATTCGTTAGGTCAGTTAGTGAGGTTGAGACTTGTTCGAATACTACAAGAACTTTCAATTCGCTTGGAAAGAAGTTAAGCTTGAGTGTATATCTTTGTTACAATGCATTAAACGTCAATACGCCACCACCACGGCAACAAAACTTTTCTTGGTCTACTTTTTCTCAGCTATTTTACCATAGTAAATTTTTATATCTCTAGGTACTGCAAGCTACTAGAATGAAGGTTCTTTTATTAACCGTTCTTGTCGGATTCATGTTGTTCAGCAGTGTGATGGTCAAAGGTAAGTTCGTATTTTTGGTAAAGATTTGTATAATTTATAAGCCCGGATTTGTTAACAATGAACTTCTCTCTAACATTGTAATAAGCTACCCCAGCTTACATAAGAGCTAAGTGTTGTTTGAGAAATCTTAACTTCATAAAGAACCAACTTTTTCATTCAAACGATATACAGATTAATTAATAGTTAAGAAATCAGATGCAGTTGGTGAAGATCACGTGCCGAGGTTTGATACTTAATGAGAACATTGTGAAACTACTTTAAGAATTTCCGAAAATAAATTTTTCCTGAAGCTCGTAAACGTAGACTGCACCGGAGTTTCACGAACTTCAGATGACTTAGTACATTGTAACTATTCTTAGCACTACAAATTTACTAAATGAATTAGAACCCTCTTAAAATTTGGAATACAGTTTAAAATTGAACATAAGGTTTAATACTAAAACATATATCATCGTTTGTGAAAGTAGTTACTTTGATAAGTTGGAATATCAAGAGACTATCTGTAATGTACAGCAGTATAGGACAGTTATGTATTATGCGAAACTTCTACAACTAATTTAACATTCTCATTATCACCCGTTATACAATTATATATCTTTACATTGATAATACTTCATTTTACTTGTCTATTGTTTTTGTTAACTAACGAATGTGACATAGTTTGTATTAAAGTTACTATTGTTGCTTCTTACTCACCAAGACATATGAAATCAACAAAAAAAAAAACATTTCGTTTAGAATTTTTTTCCTTATCTCATATATTTTTTCACACAATAACATATAATAGATCCAAATTAATAAAAAGTTAGTGGTTTTGAACTCCACTCAACACGTTCAACTAACCTTTTCCGGGATATGAAGATTTTGTTCTTAATGCTTTGTGAAGGTTTTGACAATTAGTGTACTCATTCGTGTTGGCGCTTTATATTTGATATTCTTTCCCTAGCGAACCAATCATGTCTCTCGAGTGTAATCACAGAATCATAACACCTCGTTTGTCAAGGTTAGATAGATGTCGAAAGAGTACCTTTGCTTACAAAGTCCCATTGCGTGCATATTTCGTAACTGTGGGGAGGTAAATCCAAAGACAAAAATAAACAATGAGATGCTTTCATTTAATTATGTTTCTATGAGTTCAACTGGGCAATATTATCTGTAACCACATCACAAGAACGCGTGTTGCAAATAATATGTAATATTTTCTGTTACGTTAATTAATCAGTCACAGTAGACTTATCAAACCAATTAGAAGAAAAATAAAACACAAATTTGAAATAATTCATTTCTTTATATTCAAATCAATTTGATCTGGGAAAACCAAGTAGATTATTTATGTAAAATAAATTTCAAACTCGTAAAAATTTATGTTAGCTATTGTGGTCAAAATCTGGCACTTTCTGTATGCATTTTCTTAAGAGCCAATCCAGTCTTTGCTGTATAAATTCATCATAAGTGTAACGTAGCCTATAGCAACGAACAATAATCTGCACACAAAGGACTGTGATCATACCCGAACTCTCATGCTAAATGAGAGATAGATGACTTATAAAAAAAAAATTACTATTCGCAGAGAATTTGGGCAGCTTGAAAGAGTTCGTCTGTTTGAAGTTAAGCAAAAAGCTACACAATGGGCTATCTGTGCTCTGCCCACCGTGAGTATCGAAACGCGATTTTTAATGTTATGGGCTCTCAGAATTACAGCTGTGCCACTAGGGGCATTTAAAAGAGAAGAGGGATGTTAATTTCTTGGACAACAAATTGTTCGCTTGTTTGTTGGAAGTTAAGCACAAAGCTACACAATGGGCTATCTGTGCTCTGCCCACCACGGGTAGCAAAATCCGGATTCTAGCGTTGTAAGTCCGCAGACATACCGCTGCGCTAATGGGAGGTCGGGACAATAAATCACAAATTTCTCTGGATGGAATAAAGACTAGGTAAAAGGAAAAGGTTTTAAATTATCTATAGATAAAACACATATGGTACTTTTTTCTCAGAAACGTGTTTTAGATATTCATAAAGTGCAGCTATCTCAAAGACTTGTCAAAGTAATAGCAGAAGTTATATTTTTGGAAATATCCTTTGATCAGTTAAATGGTAGGCTTACATAAGTAAGCTGGTGGATAAATATAAATTACTAAGATATATTTCGGGAAATACCTAGTATACGGGGAAAACGTTGTTAATGGTATATACCGTTGTGACTCGAGATGTGTGGTATTATTAGTGTCAAATATATGGATCAGTGTTTATATTAATTCTTCTAAGTTTAGTAGATAAGGTTCATTCCAAGGCTTTGAAGTTGTGTTGTTGATCTAGAGTAACTGGAAAAGGTTTACAAGAAGAGTCTGAACAAGAATATTGTAAGAAAATATGTTCAACAGGATTGGCTGCAAGATTTTCATATCTTTACTAGTGGGTCTAAGTAAACAAACAGTATCTACAATTTCTATTGCAGGTTTTTAAGTTGAAATAGCAAAACTAATCTATATGTTTTCATTGTATGGATGTTAGCAACAGTGATACCAATTTAACAAGTAGAAGAAGTAGGGTTGACAAATTCAACGGAGCTTTCAGATGCAACACAAGTCTCAGTGTATGGATATGTCTTACATTTGTGTAGGTAAGTCTTGTGTTATTCGGTATTTCAGTAAGTTTTGTTTGTTGCAGTATACTATAGAGGTTCAGCTGCATCAGCCACTCCACACCTTTCACATCTTCCATTACACAGAGTCTAGTTTTCAATCTACTTGCTCCCTTCTATTCTTACCCCATAAAGCCCAAATTCTCCTTAGTTTCCAACTGTAATTGAACAAACTCCCTTCCTTTTACTTCTGTCTTCAATTGTTTCTATCACGAAGATGAAACATGATTGCCAATAAGAATTTTAATTTCATTTATATCCACGAGAGAATATTCATATACACTAATAAATGATTCAACCCATATGAGGCTTCTCTGTCTACTGCCTAATTACCAATAATACCCATAATAAACAGGTATCCAAAGTAGGCTAGTGAGGGAGAGAAAGAACAACTCAAAACTCATTTGGAGAAATTGTAAAAGGATCAACAACATAGCATCTATAACAAAATAGTTGTAAAGTAGGGTAGTGAGGGAGAGAGAGAACAA